CTTGTTTGTGTCTCTCTGGCTCTTTTCTCTCTCTCTCTCTCTCTCTCTCTCTCTCTCACTAGTAGACATTAGTCTGGTTTTGTAAACCCTAAGTCGCTGGCCACTTATTTTAACTCTTTTGATTTCACAGGCGATCCTGTGGGTAGAAAGTTTATAAATAGAGCCGCACAGTCCTGTCTGCCAAGCTTAATCAAGCACCGTCATTCAATAGGGATAACCTTTTCAACGCTGTGCCTCTCGCTGCTTTTTTTTCTGTGCCCTCCTGTTTTCTTCCACGATTTCATTACCAGCCTTGTGACCTCAGCCTCTCCTCTTCCTCCCAACGGCCAAAGCATCACAAGGGCTGATCCCTGGACAGCTCCTTCCAGCTTCCGTGCCCTGCCATGCATTACATATTCCATGTAACAGGAGAATTTTTGAGGGGAAAAACATTGACCTCTTTAAAGCCTATGGTCTAATTCGCTGTTATGATTTGAACCTGGTGCTGTAGTAATGTAAGACTGAATAATACAGATGCATTGCTAGTTCTGCTCCCCCCGTGTCACTTGGATGAAGGAGTGTCAGGTGTGCAAGGAGTATTAGTCTTAATCCCAAGTGTGCCATCCATTCATGTACATCAGCAGTACAGTTTTCAGTTGAACTAGTGCATGTGTGTCTGTGCATCTTTGTGTGTGATATGGCATAAAAGTCATGTTTTGCTTTAAAGATGGGGGGTAGACAGAACAAACATTTAACAACTATAATAGCTGGGTTTCCATCCATGTACTCTACACTACCATTCAAAAGTTTGGGGTCAGTAATTTTATTTCAGCATGGGCTTTTATATTGTTACAAACGTTTTCTATTTCAAATAAATGTAGATGTTTTGAATTCTCTCAAATCCTGAAAAAAATCATCACTTATTTCACAGAAAAATTAAGCAGGACTGGCTGGATGAGAGTCTGTGACTATCATACGCTGAGCAATGTTCTGTGAAATATGTCAATTCATCTGCAAACTGGCTTTTGGCAACAAGTGTCAGCTTGTCCAGACTGTAAACTGGGGCAAAAGTCGTGTAGTGTATTCCAGTCTTAAGCAGATGATTGGTAACAAATTTACCAAATAAATGACTAGATACACACACAAAAAGTCATGTAATTGTTTCAGGTCATGTGACCAAATAATTTGCTCAAACAATTGGCTGCCATTACCTAATCGTACATGAGCATTTTGTCTGCATGCTTTAAACTGCAAGTCAGTCATTACATCCAGTTAAGCCTTGCTTTATTTGCGTATAGTTTTGACTATATTCCCTTTTTTTTTTTGCATAAAATATGTGATGTGATATAATGTGAAGACAGGTTTGCAGTGATCAGCTAATCCTAATGACCTCTCTGCAGACTGAAGGCGACCACAATTTAGGAGAAGTAGAAACAGGGAAGAAAGTTGACAGGAGTCAGAAGAAAGAACAAAAAAAAGAAAACATTTGGGGGGAGAAGCTAAAGCTGGGAAAGCCATTAGCCCCCGGAATCCAATTAAGGCAGGAGTTATGGAAAAATGGAGACGTGTTTTAGACTGAAATAAAAAAAACGCTCCATTTCCAAAATGAGTTTATCTCATCTGTCCACAGGTTCACTCCTGGAGGAGGAGCACTGGGGCCAGAAGCCTCGAGGCCTGTAGCTGTGCACAGCTTTCGATTACCACACTTTTCCCCACACTGACCCCAGCTCAGGTGGATGCGCTTTAGTATAATCAGCTGAAGTCACTGGGATTTTAATTTGGAGGGGTCGTTTGGCAGTGTCTCTAATTTTGTGTGTATGGTAGACAAGATTTGAATTGGCCATGGACATAGAGAGCAAATGGGCATCTGTTCGTCTGATTTGTAGCCAGTAGTGGATGATTATAGTCTCAGTGTTTGGCTATCCGTCTGTGGGGGTCAGGAATAGCCAGTCTTTGCAGCGGTTCAGTGTATAGGTTTTGTGTGTCTGTTGGTGATGTTTGTGTGTGGGTGTTTCGTATCTCTGATGGAAGGAACAGGTGATTGATGAGACTAACAGCAGGACTGTGTCCTCCAGCTAGCCTATTGGATTTGTAGTTCTGATACTTACTAAACCTGCTAGTGATGACTGCACCGGCTTGACCTGGCAGCCCACTCTGTTTGTCTGAGTTTGACTGTGTATATGTGTCTCCACTGATGCATCAAGCAGTGTTCCCATGCTTTTGTAGTTCATATATCGAGCCACTCTCCTTATAAGAACAAACTATACCAGATGAGTTTTTTTTTCCAATTTTCACAAATTGAGATTTCTTAAGAGATATCTCTTTCTTAAGAAATCTAAACTTAAGAATTATAAACATGCACCTCTCAAAAAAGTATTATTTTCATGCGTGTATAATAATAATAAAACACGTATTATATTTCATAAGTATATACATATGTTTGTGATTGTATATATTTACTTTATACTTTTAGCTATATTTATTTATTTATATTCATGTAATGCACTGTTACACTAATAAAAATAATAATAACTAACAATAATAATAATAATTTGTGTATGGACGTTTTGAAGTCACAATTCTAGATGGATGGATGCTTTGAAGTCACGGTTCAGTATGTTTTCAGTACAGTGGGGGGAAAACTAAACATTAAAATTGCTTTTCTTTTTCTTTTTCATTAAACAGTGGTTTACTGAACAAATTGTGGCTGTCTTTAAATAAATTCATTTATAATTACATTTTCTTAAGGACAAAAAAAAGATTGCATTAATGCATTTATCCAAAGCAACTTGCATTACAGTTAAGGTATACATTTTATCAGTTCTTAACTACATACAAATATAAAATATATATACCTGTATATATATTTAGCTTATTAGTGTGTGTGTGTGTGTGTGTGTATGTGTATATATATATATATATATATATATATAGTGGCTCAAAGACATCTTAACAATCCTTTCTCTAAATTTGAATTTTGGATAGGACAGAGAAAAAACAAATATCACTCCTTCATTCAAGTCTATTCTCCTCTGGCCAGCAGGTATGAAGAGTCGGTATTCAGAGCAAGCCTGTAACAGTTGGGCAGAACACGACTTTCCACTTGGGTAGCACAATGGAATTCACTCCTACAGTGTGTTTCCCCTAGACAGCCATTCTTAATGAGTTCAACATGATTCAAAGCAGTGCCCAATACATATTTCAAATAGCACTACTAAATACTTGTTTTTCTTTAATCGTAGCCTGTGATGGTAATCCATCTTCTCCCCTGGATCCAGGCAGCCAGTTCGTGCTTATCTGTGGGAATGCTGAGAGATAACTGGAGTTGGTAAACCGTTTGTCTGAGTGCACAGAAAGACACATTTCCCCCTACAAGAGATGGAATATAGTTAGTGTGCACATGAGATGAGATCAGACAATTCTGGTACGTGCGATTTGTGCCGGAAACTTCTTAATGTTTGATGCTGGGGGTCTCCCTGACACCACCCCAGGGGCCTGTACAATACCGCTAAACCTTTCCACAGATGACCGTAAAAGAGGGTGGGAGTGAGTGAAGGCCATATGTCTGTCCATCTGAATGGATCGTTCACATGCTCGACAGGCAGCTCTCCGTTAACCTTGTTTGGGGTGGAAGGCGTAGGCCGAGGCATTTCACAAGAGAGAGAACTTTATTTGAGTTAATTTCCTCGTTTCAGGAAGCCTAAAAACTACTCGCACTGAAATACAGCTAATTTTGTTCAACCGTATCCACCTTCACTCTCTCAATCAGTAAAAAGTGGCATACTTGGGAAAATTTACTACATGATTAAGTATGACTTATAAGCACAGGACAAGGATTACCCATTTCAAAATAATGGATAAAAGAATTAGTCGCAGGTTGTAAACCAAAAAATGATGGAAAAATACAAGAGCTCTTTCTATGAAATCACATTCAGTTTGACTGATCACTCTACAGAGTATTATGATTCCCCTCTTTGACCTTTTTCTGGTTCCCTTATCTTTTTGATAAATGTGAATGTGCATCATTCCGTATCCATATGGGGAGTTAATGTGTTTGAAGGTTATTACCCCTCTTCATCCTTAGCCTTTTTAAATCCCTCAGGGCTTTCACCTCACACATCTACAAAATTTCTTCCACGGCTGTAAGATATTATTGCTGTGGAAAATGGGCATTCGGGAGCCACAGCAGCTCTCAGGCGATTTTGTGTGCGGCGGCAGCGCGTCTTTCTGTGTTTACACTGAATTTGGGCCTTTTCATTGTTTTTCCTTCCATGTCTCAGTGGAAGAACAGGTTTGATTTGTGAACTGCTAGTTGGTGATGGTAGGTTGCGTAGCTCTGAGGTCTAATTAACTCGTCACACCACAGTGCACGCCATTAGGAGGTGCATGTTTGGGCCTCTATGGCGGGCACGTGTCGGTCTTCTAGCCCGTACTGTCATACTGGAAGGGAAATGGAAGGAATTTTATGACTGTCCTTGGCTAGCTGGCTTTCTCTTTTTATATTTATCTTTGTCCCCAAACCAGAAGGTCCTTGGCTGAGCATTTTTAATATAGCTGAGCTGCCTTCCGTCACCCCACATATAGATTTGTCACACAAAGCTGCGTCCTTTGGAAAAAGAGAGAAATAAGGTTCACTGACAAGAAGCAGGCCCAAAATGTGGACACATTTCTGCTCAGACTGGAATGGATTAATTTTCATGTTTGTTTTTTTTTTTTATTCGAATTCAATCAGTTACGGAGAGGGGGGTAGATTTGCTTGCTTTCTGTGTCTTGATTTATTTATCCTCATTGAGATGGAAGGCAATATTTCGGCTATTTAGATGGAGCCGTCTATCCTGTTTTAAGTGATTTTGAAGGGTCCAGATTACGAATCCTCTTCAGACAGAGAACTGCAATTTGCATTGACTAGCCACAGCCGAGCAGCCGTAATAAAAGCTTTGCACCTGCTCTGTGCTCGGGAAATTGGAGATTCTCAATGCCAGAGCCAATCGACTATCGAAACTGAAGGGTACAAAAATTTAATGGAACAAACCACTCAGTGTTTCAGCTTACTTAAGGTCACAGTCATATCCTCTCCAAGGGAATGATTTCCTTTAAATTAATATAAACCCTTTTCCCATCAAATGATATTTGTCAGATAATCATACCTATATGCATACCTTGTTATAATAATGTTGATGTTTTCGCTCCAGTCAGGGTTGAGTTTTAGCATGATGGCAACACGTCAAGTGGCACGAGCAGCAGAGACCACAGGTTAGCCTGAGTGGAAGAATGCTCGGTCCTAAACGCTTGTAACCAAATCATCACTGTGGAACCACACAAACACTTGTGTTGTGGTACAGCGAGCACTTGACTTACGGTGTGTTTCATTTGTATCCCAGCGTAGGTCCCCACCAGCCCTTATTAGGTGACTGTGTGGAAAAGAACAAGCTGTAAAGAATGCAGGATCTGTCCATGGCCGCACATCTGCGCTCCACAGTCTCTCAGTGCTGTGGAAAGTATTAAATGGGGACTGGATCAGGGTTTTTGTTTTTTCATTCCCTTTCTCAGTCCATAATTTTCTTACTGCCGCATCTTGCATCATGTCCCTGCATTCATTAATCACAGTTTTAAAAAAATTAAATGCAGTTAAGGCGGGAGGGGAAAATGCCTTGTGCAGAGATGGGGTATTAGGTGTCTCTGGTTTGGGGCTGTGCTAGACTAACTAGCATCTGTCATGAATATAAAACCGTGCTGCTTAAATGAGGGGTACGTTTTGATACAGTCTGGGGTCATTAAAGACAGACTGGTGCTGTCCAGAGTAATCAGACAGGAAGTTTTGTGGTGAGGTTCTTAACAACCTTTTAGGGCATGAAAAAACCACCCGTAGCTATGACCGTGTCCTGAAATAGCTCACCTCCTGCCGTGTCCCCATGAAATACGTAGCCTCAGATATTTCGGTCTGGTCGTTTTGTTACCTGGACGTGGATGAAAGAACCACAAGTAGGTTCATATGATGATGGCGCACAGGAAAATCTGTTATGAAAGGGCCCAGATGGAATCTGCGTATGCTTTTCGCATTTTCCATGCTGATTTTTAGGGGAAAATCTGTGGAATTGGTTTAGATATGGTAAAATGTGGTATATGGAACTAATAGACCTAAACACTTGACAGTGGATGAAAGAGTAACCAATACACCAAAATATTTGATGAATGAACACAGGAATGGAATGGAGGATATGTAGAACATAGTCAAAAATAATAATTAAAAAAATATTTTTAGAAGAAAAATAAATCTAGTACAAAAAAATTAATATAGCACCTTTAAAAGTGGCTCAAGTTGCTAAGGAATATGCATGTACAATATCGTTCATAAGTTTGGACCACAGTTTCCAAAAAATAAATAAATAAATAATTAGGTAACGACTGTTTTCAACATTGAAGTAATAAAATTGTTTAATTAGCACCAAATCAGCTTCTTTCTTATATCAGGCCTACTTCCAAAAAGCATATTTATCACTGACCACAACCTCAAACCTATACAGATGCAGTAGGCAGGGTGAATGGCTCAGTAAAGAATGAGTAAGTGTAGGAGAGTGTTAAGATCCAGTAAGACTTCTATGTTTACATTAAATCCTCATTTTCAAATGCACACAAGACTGTAAGACAAGCTTGTTGTTCTTTTGTCTTTATTTGTTTCTCTCTTCCTCTCCAGCGGGTCTACGGAGGAGTTTTCGTCTCAGCAGAAGAGATAAAAAGACAAATAAGTCGATGTATGAATGTAAGAGAAGTGAGCAATACGACACAGCTGATGTGCCCACTTATGAAGAGGTGACGGCCTACCGCAGAAAACACGGAGACAGGCACAGACTTGTCTTGTTAGTTGGTAAGTGTAACAACTTGAATATGAAATATTCATATATATATATATATATATATGAGGTATATGAAAAGTGCTTTTTTGTTGTCCAAATGATGACCATCTTCATTTAAAAGTTTTTAGAAATGTAAAAATACAAAGAAAGAATTTCAAAAGTTCAAAACACGCTATTTTGAGGCTGTAGCGAATCAGCTCAAAGGGGAAATAGGAATAATTAAACATAACTAGTTATAATTAATTATAAATATTTAGATCCGCTGTAAGTATTTACTTGACCTCTCAGGGTCAACTGTCTGTCAATTCTAAGAACGTTAATTTCCTGGTTAAGGGAAATAACTTTCTTACTGTACAATACTACACAGAGCATTTAGCAAAAATCTGCATGATTAGGTACTGCGGTTATGAGCAAACAATGAACAACCTCAAGTGTGATACAAGTAAGGCTTTATTAACTACATAAACACTTAAACTAGTCTAACATACTACATAAACACTTAAACTAGTCTAACACACTACATAAACACTTAAACTGGTCTAACATACACATAAACACTTAAACTGGTCTAACATACACATAAACACTTAAACTGGTCTAACATACACATACACACACACACACACACACACATTCTTATGAGGAAAATGAGTGAGTTTCTCTACCCGCATTCCTTTGGGCAATAAAACCAGTGATATCAGCATTGGTTGCCATGGAATCAGAGGCCTATTCTGCCTTCCTGAGGTGTTAAGACGCATTTCGGGGGAAGGGTCCACAGGCCCTCATATGGCTTGTTAACTGAGGGGTGTTACGGAGTATTTGTTAAATATAACTAACAAAACTATATTGTGTGTCTGATTGGTCCAGACGCTACAAGGCTACACAAACCGTGCTTTACCCACAACAGCACTCGACTGTAACCTATAAATCCTGTTCTGCTGTGGGACTCAACCTGACCCTCTGAAGACCCCAAGAGCTGACGGGACCAGTTTAGGATTTATTCATTGTTGTGACACTTCATTCGCAGCGCTGGTGTTCTATTGGAACATTTTATTCCTTAATATTATTCACCAAAGAATTGTTAACACTTATTTTCAAGGGAAACCGCTGTGGGGCGTCAGCTTTGCAAAGTGAAAAAAAACCTTGAAATTATATTAGATTTTCGAATGTCAGATTTGGTGTATGTTTGCCAGAAATTCTGGACAAAGAATATAGAGGCCAGAACAATGAATTAAGTGTTTCATAAAAGTGTAAATAAAAAGTATTTTAGATTTGTATGACAGATAGCTTGAGGGTATATAAAATATTTCAAGTACAAATCTGTGAGAGGTAGCACAGGGTCATGGTTCACCGCAGTAGACCAGGCCGTGTGTTTGTGAATGCAACACGGCATATGGATTCCATCACAGTTTTGTTGGTGCATGTAATTAATGGGGTGTGTGTTCACATGCCTGTGTAAGTGAGTGCATAAGGTGGTCTGTTTAATTAATCAAGCTTATTCTACTGTCAGGATGGCCCTCTGGTAATTTGCAACTCATACAGTCAAACTAACCCAAATATTTTCAGTTTTGTCTCAAGGTGGAGGGCAGCATCATGGATGTATCAGTCGTGACAAAACCAAGGATGCAGAAAAAGGGTCTGCTGCGTTTTCTCTCTGAACTGTTATTCTGTCCCTTGAGGTCATGCTTTAACTTTTCCTGGCCTGCACTTTTTATTATTTTTTTCCTGTCTGTCTTTATTTCATACTCCTTGTCGGTTGTTTTATTGCGTTTAATAATGCAGCCATCAATGATGCCATTTGAATCTTTTCCCCATACGTCTCTCTTTGTACTCTATTAATGTAGTTATTCTTGTGACTTTTCTTTTCTTGCCTTTGTGTTTGCAGTTTGAATGAAAGTGATTCATTTGAAAGCACATTAAACTTTTACACTCCCATTAGGTGTTTACCCCTGCCTGTGGACAACAGGGTCAGACAAAATCACCCCAGAACAAAGTAGTATTATTCCCCTTTGCTTTCTCTAACACGACTGACCCACGGTTTGCGGTTCGGTTTCAAACGACTTTCCAGACGAATCAAGATCTTATCTGTTTGGATACATATTAATCGAGCAGCCAAAGTCAGCACGTTTAACATATGTGCAGCTTCGCAAGCCCACCGTAGTGTTTTAACTGAAACCTGATTATTTAACATAGCAAATGATCTGTTTTTTGTACATGTCTGAGTTAAGATTGAAGAGATTTCAGTTGATAAAGTGGTAGTTCAGACACAGACAGTATAACGGTGGAACAGAAGTATGACCATTGAGGAAAATGATGATCTAAAGGAGCTGTCAGTTCAAACGATGGATCAGATTCTTTATTTTCTTTTATATCAGAATTTTCTTTCTCTTTCCAAACATCTCTGTCTGGGCTTTTATAATTGAACATTACAATTTGGGCTGCAATGTGTTGTTTCTTCCTAGAACTATCAAGTATAATTTTTACACATTTGAGCAGTTGGCAGGGTCCTGTACAAGTAGCATAGTGCCCAGTCTCTCCAAAGGCTTAAAATCTCGCCAAAATATATTTAAATTGTGAACTTATTACACATATAAATGATAAGAACGGTTATTTTTCAGACACACTTGGTGGAATATGTTGATGCTGATAATACTGTATGAGGACATGAGGACAGTGTTTTAAGGAGTGTTGAGAGAAGGTTGGGCTGCGGCCCCCCACGTTCATTCAGCCTGGCAGCTCCTCGGTTAACTGCATCTGCTCCGCGCTTGGCCTGGAAGTTATTAAGCCTTTCGTATTAGCCTTTCGTATTCTCCCCTAATGAGCGCCTTAATGACTACTGACACTTTTACGGCTGCTGCAACCTGCCCCTGTGAGCGCGCACATACACTTGGATTGAAAAACAATTACTCAGATGTGTTATTTTATTGGGGCTGTTGAAGAGTAAAGGGCTAGTTTTTGTTTGGGTCAATAAAGCATGACAATGAACAGAATAATCAGGAAAAAAGTCAGTTAACCTCTCTGACGCACCACCGTCCCATTTTGAAAGCTGTTTAGACTGTAGGGGTCTGGCTGGCTGTTCAGTGCTTCAACTCAGACTACAAGTTTCAATGCTGTTTGTGGCTTTTTGGACACAAGCGGCTATACATCAGAGATAGGGCGAGCCGCTGCAGAGATGAGTGATTGAGGGCTTTAAACTCATTTAGTGCACAAGATGAGTGAATAGAATGGCCAAGGGACTACGGACCATCCGTCTTCGCTTTGACAAGGTTTTTATGTGGGCCTGGAAGCAGGCGGACAGGGCCTAGTGGGGTCTGGAGATTAACATCCCCTGAAAATAAAGACTGTTTGAGTTTGTGGGTCCTTTTAAGGGGAAAGAGCGTTTGCATATGAAATATGGCTGGTTGGAAACATGTATTGCGGTCTACTTTTTTCCTTTTCCACCTATATGCATACACGCATAAACATGGAGTTACATATGGCTCTCAAACAGGAGCTCCACATTACTCAGTGACCCTAAAACACATGAAATAATCTCCTGTTTCCTCACCGTAATAAATCAGCATCTTACTCTTTTACTCTATCTCAGTGGAATAAGGAAAACGTTTTGCACCGTCATGGGCTTCTCATGAAGTCATGTGTGTATTGGAAAGTGTATTCTCCCAGCGAGTAGGAAAAACATCTGTTTTGTGTTCTATAACATATAGATTTTGATTTGTGCATGTCTCATAGCAATCATTAGCGGCTAATAGAAAAACCATGCTTGACTCTCCGCATTATACAGTGTAAATCTTGGCCTGACTAAATTAAATTTGTAATCCAAGTTCATTTTGTATACACTGTACACTTTTTGTATACACTACCTATCAAAGGTTTGGGGTCAGCAAGATCAGCTTATGCTCACCAAGGCAGCATCTATTTGATCAAAAATACAGGGAAATTATTTTCTATGTCAAATGATCCTTGAGAAATCAGTCTAATATGCTGATTCGGTGCTCAAGAAAATTTATTTTTATTATCAATACTGAAAACACTTGTATTGCTTAATATTTTTGTGGAAACTGATACATTTTTTCAGGATTCTTTAATGAGTATGAATTTCAAAAGAACAGCATTTATTTGACATAGAAATCTTTTGTAACCATGTTAAAGTCTTTAAAAGTATTAATGTCTTACCCAAACTTTTGGACAGTAGTGTATTTTTAATAAAACATTTTAAATCATGAAAAGTCTTATTTCTATTTTTGTCACACACAAAAAATACTATAGAAAAAAATTATAAAAAGAGCAGCATGCTAGAATAAAAGCTAAGGAAGATATTAATGGACTTTGTTTCTGTCTCTCTCTCTCTGTTTGCTTATTTAGGTCCTTCTGGTGTTGGTTTGAATGAGCTAAAAAGGAAATTGTTGATATCCGATCCACAACATTTTAGTATCACCATCCCACGTAAGTCCTACCGTGCGTGTGTGTGTGTGTGTGTGTGACAAAGTATGAGACTGATTTTTTTTTTTTTTTTTGGTCACAGTACAAAAAAGTAGATTAACTTTGTGACAATGACTCTCTCACCTCATCAGACTTTCACAGCTCTACTTGATACATTCCTCTGTCCCCAGCAGCAGCACCCATGACATAGCCTTCACTCCCTCCAGCATCCAGAAACACATGATCCAGGGAAATACACCAGAGCAGATATTTTTGGGACACATAAATATGCCTGCGATTTATGTATTTAAGCAGGCTGATGCTGTGGAGAAAATGCATATTTAGAGGCAGGAAAGTGAGAGACAGAGCTTGAAATTTTGAAGGAGTTGGAGACAGTGGCCAGAAATCCCATGACTGTTGATATAACAGTGGGATGTTTGTTACATTCGAGTTTGGCTTTAATAGATGTGTCTGATTCAGGCTCTGACACTTTAAAATGCCACTGGTATTAAAATCCCATCCAAAGATTTTTGCCTTAATGCTGCCTAATTGCTCACAAATGTGACCCCTGCATTAGTCTGTATTATGTAGCCCGGCTTCCCTCAGACCTTACGGAGGATCTAGATTAAAGCAATGGATTCTTGGAAAGTGACTGTTTTGAAAGTGCTTTTTGGTCATCTTTCCCCTTTTATTTCAATCCTGCCAGCTCTAACTCTCCTTTATAATATGGAGTGATTAAACATTAAATATTTTTGTTTAAATTCTCTAAAGAAGACCAACGTGAACAATTGCTTCACATTTCCAACAATTGGATCTTTTAAAATGCAAACCAGTTGTGGCAGCAACACTAGTGCGATTGTAGAATACGATTAGTTGGGAGCACTTGAACATTTTTGTCTCCTCTCCAGCCTTTACTGCTATTTTCCATGATCTTAGAATGAAATTCAAATTCTTTTGCCACACCAAAAACATTTCTTATGCCACAGAGCTAATGCCAGATGAAATATATTCTATTTCTCTCAGCAGTGCAAAGGAATAGCCTTTTTTCTTTGTTTTGTGAGCACCAGCAGTTGGAGGTATAATAACATGTTATCTTATGTCTGTGGTGGGCTGTCATCATGAGAGGGGGATGCCTCTTCATCAAATATATGATGGGTTGAGGGCAACTAATAATTTACTCCCATCCCACCCAAACCATACTTTCTCCCTCGTCTCTCTCTCTGTCTTTATCTATAGGAATAGGTGTCCACTTACAAACTAAATGAGGAAATTAGACAGTCGTCGGTCCATTCTTTTTACGACCAATCGTACACTACTGTTCAAAAGTTTGAGGACTGTAAGGTTTTATAGGAATAGGTGTCCACTTACAAACTAAATGAGGAAATTAGACAGTCGTCGGTCCACTCTTTTTACGACCAATCGTACACTACTGTTCAAAAGTTTGAGGACTGTAAGGTTTTTGTCTTTGTTTTTTTTTTTTTTTTTCTCTGATGCTTACCAAGGCTGCATTTATTTGATCAAAAATACAACATACAGTAATATTGGAAAAATTAATATTGCAAGTGTCATGGTCATTCAAAAATTATTCTAATATGCTGATTTGGTGCTCAAGAAACATGGTTTATTATTATTACAGTTGAGAATGATTGTTCTAATTAATATTTTTGTGGAAAACCATGATACCCTTTTTTCAGGATTCTTTGAATAGAAAGTTCAAAGAACAGCATTTATTTTTATTTTTTTTAATATTATAAATGTCGGTAACCTTTACCATCACTTTTGATCTATTTAATTTATTCTTGCTGAATGAAAGTATTAGTTTTTTTTTTTTAAATAATTACAAAACTTCTGAACTATAATGTGTTTATATATTTAAAAAATAAAGGAAAATTACCCATACATGATAAGTAGATGGAGCAATATAGACCATTCAATAGGGGCCTTGAAAAAGCAGAAGGAAAAAATCAGGGAAGAAAAAACCTGGAACAAGGCGAGTTGGAATGGTGATAAAGTTTAATAGTTTGTTTTGGAGCTGCTGGCGGCTTGCAGACGATTTGTCGGAGGTGTGTTCTACAGTGACCTTTGACCTCCCCGGCACTCGTTAAACACACCGCTGTGTCTCTCTGCACGGCAAACTCTGACCCTGGCTGTACCCGGCGGAGCCGTGCTGGCTGGACTGGCACGCGCCATCTGATTTAAAGACAGGAGTTTATAAGCAGCTGAAAGCAGGAACGGGGCTAATGAGGGACAGAGTAAACTCAGTGCTGGTACTGTACAGTGTGCTCCTGTGGCTTTACAAGCAGCGTTACACTCGCACTGCCCTTTAGAAGCCTCCTGGTGAGGTGAGCCAAGACCTTGGAGTGGTGGTTTACTTTAAATAAAATTAAGTGGGAAATAAAGTGCCCATGGGAAACTCCCTTTAATCAAGGAAATGTCTGTAATGAACATTTCTTCACATGTTCTTCTTGAATCATCTTCAAACATTAACTTATTGCACCACTGTGCTCTAAGAAACCCTGTTGGGAGTCCACTGTTTTCTTTCGGTTAGGGACACAGTATCTAATGCCACTTAGTGCTGGGTAAAAATATTGTTTTTCTGATTGATTGTAATCTTCATAATCATGTTCTTTGAATAATCCCAGTATTGATTGTTAAAATCCTATGATTGAGCTTTTACTTGAATCCCTTTTTTTTACTGGCTGTGTGAAAATATACTGTATTTGTAAATCGCCTCCTGTACTGTACCTGTACTGTCCTCATTGTTCTTGTGAGCTGCATGTAAAAGATACTGTATAGTGTGACCAGTGTAGTTCAATTCAGTGTAGCCCAATTCCCAATACAATTGACTCTTTCGAGCCAGTTCTTTTAATTCTGTTTTACTGTTCGGTTTGCAAACGATTTAAGATATATTTATGTTAAAATTAGAGTTTTCTGAAGCTGTACAAGAGCTTTATTTCTCCAGTAATGTGGATGTGCTACAGTTGTGGCTTGTGTCTTGTTAAAGCTGGAATACACTACAAATTTTGCCCAGATTTACAGTCTTGCCAAGTCAATTTTATGAGGTGATTTTAAGACATATAGTGCAGTTTTTCTGTGTAACCATTTACAAAGTCGACAAATGCATGGTCAAGTGTTTTAAAATCTGTTCAGATTTGAAGTCATGCATCATATTCTATTCGATCATTAAGTGTGAAACTACACAAAACCATCTGAGAAAAACCTCTGCTCACATGTAAGATTTCCAACATTTAAAATGGCTTTTCTCTTCACTTTGCCTTATCTTTCACAGATACCTCTCGATTGAAGAGACATCAGGAAAGTGATGGAGTGGAGTATCATTTTATCTCCAAACACCTTTTTGAGGCAGATATTCAGAACAGCAAGTAAGTTACCCTCCAACACAATCTTTCTTAGTCGTGCTTAGATTGAAACACACTAGTGTGTATTATTTGGAACGAGCATATGAACATTACTGCTGTGATCTGGATTGGGGTTATGAACGTTTACCGTGGAGATCAAATAGTCAGTATTAATCATTGAAGTTTAGTGGACCGCTTCCTTTATTCTCAGAATTGTAATTATGTCAACCGAAACCCTGACACAAACACTTCACAGTGGAAGAGATATAAATCTGAGAGACTTAGCCTCCATGGCCAGTTAGTATTCAACACATCGTCCGGAGCCCTGACTGAACTTAAGTAAATCAGCACCCCAGTCAAAACACTGCACAACAATTTTCACTGATGTCGTCTGTCTCAGATGCTATGGCAAACATTCACCAGCTCTGCCTTTCGGCTGCCCAATATTCTTTCATTTTTCCACTCCATTTCCTTCAAGCAAATTGTGTGTGCGAGTGTGTGCTACTTGTGTAGCAGCATGATGTGGGCTCAGATCCCTTCTCTGTAAGCGAGAGTGAAAGGGTGTTGACAAGGTGGTCTGTTTCTGTGTGTGTGCTCGAGAGAGGGGGGATCAGACTCCTTTTACCCAGTGGTTCGTAAGCTCAGATTTGTATGGATGGCCTGGTGATGGATGTTTTTCTGCAGCCCCTCATCAGAGGATAAAACAACACAACAGGAACGCATATAGAATGTCACCTCGCCAGCAAACCAGGCATTTTAACTGCCATGTGGTGGAAAAAACAAGCAGTGGCTTGTTCTGTGGTGAAATGAACATCAAAATGAGTAAACCACAATTATCAAGATCGAGCAGGTGGCCACAAGGGACTGCAACAGGGCTGGAAAGACAATTTTTTTCCCCTTCTGTCAGCATTTTTTCTTCCATTTTTTTTTTATCTGTCTGGACCTATTCATTTATTTAAAAATAGCTCACAGATACAAAAACTTATATCATCAAATTTTTTATTGTAATTTTCAGTAAAAAATCATTAATTTTTTTATTAATTTATTAATATTTTATTCTAATAATTATATGAATAATTTCATTAAAAATAAGTCCTTATTACATAGTTTTCATAATATGTGATTATTACTTAGGAAAAAAATGTTTTTGTAAAATGTTAAAATACTTAAATAAACAAAACAAAACTGTTTACATTAGAAAAATATTTGTATTTTTTCATAATGACTTAAGATTTGTACACTCACATGTGTTCGAAATTCAAGGAAATTATATTTCGATTGGTTACACCAGATGACATTTTTAAAGTCATTAAATTTTAACTTTTCTTAAATGGTATGAACGATTTTGAAAACTATATGAAACCAATGAATGAAAATGTTAGGGAAAAACCATGTGGAACCAACATATGAAAATACATTATTATATTTTAATTGATTACACCACATGACATTTTGGACTCTTTCAATTTTCTGAAAATGCTTTTGAAATCCATATGAAACCAATATGAATACATTTCTAGGAACATTGTAAACCAGACAGATATATTTGACCCACTGTTCATTATTCTGCCTTCCAGTGAGAAAACGGCCATTCTCATGTGCAAACATGACATTCTTGTTCCCAAGGAAAACCCTACTCGGGGCTAAAAACAGTGTTTAAATGAACCCAAAAACCACAGAAGCAGCCTCCACCCCGCCATCCAAAACATGCACCGTATCATGACAACAAATGCCACGACACATAAGTCCTGTTTGGGCACATCTGCCTTCAAATTAAAGTTTAGTCACTTTGGGAATTCCGGGTAACCCTACATGTCACATTAACACTAGCAAACCACCTCTTAGCACCCAACTAAATCAACTTAGCTCACCATCAAATTGCCTTCAATGAAAGAGTGTACAGACTTTTAAAACATGTCTAACAGGAGAAGAGTGGCAGGGAGTCACGTTAGCTTCTAAAAATGATCGGCCAATCACAGGTTGCTGTTAGACAGTGTGGACCCAAAAATGTGAGCGCATTTATAGTTTTCACTTCAAAGACTTGTTGACATTTGGATTGATACTTAGGGAAAAATAAAGAAGCCTGTACATACAGTATAAAGAACATTTCACCAGTTTCAGTAGTGGTGATTTTAGTGGTCTGTGTTGCATAACCAAATATTCATGGAATATTATGACACCGTGCTGTCGTAAGACTCTTTCGTTCTTCTGGAATACTTTCCATATCCTTCCACATATATTGCTAATACGAATGTCCTAAAAATAAACGCCGGTGTTCTGTGACGCTGATCAGGAAAAAAAATCAAATGATTGGATTGAACGAGAGGCAGATTAAATAGTGGAAAAGTGTTTGTTTGTCTTTGTCTTCTCGGGAAGTCCACTTACTCTTGCTTTTGGCATTCAAGACTGCCTGTGCTGCGAGGAAACAGGTGTTACTGATTTAAACTGTAACATAGAAGATTATATAAAAGAGCCTTGTGTCAGACTGTCTGGAATTGCCATGTGGGGAAGAATACGAGTGATGGTGAACACCCGTACATGTCTAAGCAGCCTTTTACACTGAAAGCATCAAGACAGGCTGAAAGTAAATAATGGGTTATGAGTTTCCTGTCATTATCCTGTCCATTGGCTTCTCTTTGTATTCTAGTATGGGGTCACGTAGACTCATGGGCATTGCTTTTGCATTTAGAGCCATCAATCATTACATCAAACCTCTCCTGTTCTTTCTGTCTTTTCCTATGCCTCAGATTCATTGAACATGGGGAGTATAAGGGAAACTACTATGGGACGAGCTTCGACTCTGTACGTTCAGTCCTTTCTAAGAACAAGGTGTGTCTTCTAGACATACAGCCACATGTGAGTAACTCCATTCCTCATATACACATTCTACCTCTCCATTTTACCTCCCTCTGCGTCACTCCATTCTTCAGTCTCTGTTCCAGATTTATTTTCCCCCCTTTCACAGGTGTGACATTCCACACTATTCCTCCTGGATCTTTTCTGAGATCAGTGTGGTGTGTGAGTGTTTGTAAGTTTGCACTTTTCCTTTTGGTCTTCAGGTCAGGCAGGAGATTTAATGTTATCTCTATTAATTGTCCCACGTTTGAAGATTTCCTTAGGCTTCGTGTCAGTGTGAAAGAGTAGTGCAGGGAAAAATGATTTAGTTGGTTGAGTTTTCGCAGAACTCTATCAGTGTCCCCAGTGAAGCCAGCGAAAGACCTCTGCTGCCTCTGCCTCAGACATCTTACTTTGATGGTCTAAGCCTGGCTTCTCTCTAGGAGTAGTGAGAGAGAGAATGAGCCAATGGCATGGTTATCTGTATTATGAAAACACATTATACATTATAGCCTGGTTAAAACTTAAGTGGCAAAACATAACTAGTGATGCATCAAAACGCGAGAATGATTCTTCTGATTTATAACATTGAGCTTAAACAGCGATTGATGATGGATAGTGTATTTCTGTTATCAATGACTCGCTGTTGAGGCTCGTGCTGCCTGTCTGTGTGAAAGACTTTCATGGAGAAATCAAATCAAATGAGCGTAACGGCACACATAAAGAAACTCACAGAACAAACATACTGAGGTGAAAATTCAAAATATTTAGTTTATTGATAACATGATGTAGTTAGCATACCATTACAAGAGAGATATTTAGCTGAATGTTAGAATGAGTACATTACCAGTATAAATTTATTAGAACGAGTACATTATTATTTATGGGCATACAAACAAGATGCAAACAATCAGAATGTACCTGGTGGGGAGTGCCCAATGGAAACCTCAAACCTAGGCTATATTGTGGTACAGTTATGGAGGCCCTTCATAATTCTGAGGTCAACTTCCTGCTCTGCCTACTGTATATTTAGAAATGACCCTATAATATGCAGTGTTTAATAAACAGCTGTTATACTAAATTCTGCTGAGGTGCAATTTAATGCAGACCCGTATCATGATATGTATCATATCGTGGCCTCTTTATCGGGATATGTATCGTATCGTGACTTTGCTGCCGATACACAGCCCTGGTGGCAAGTCTGCAATACCTGGAGAGAGCTGTATCTGTTAGCATTCCCATTGATCTCAATGGCGCATACACCTTCAGTGAAGAAAGACATTTGTGAAAATTAAATGAAATTTAAAATCAAAATGATTTACTAATTTCAAAGATGTTGTTCCAAATCCTTATGTTGTTATTTTAGCCCACGGAATACAAAAATGACCATGGCTATCAAACTCAAAAAAAAAAAATTTACATTTTGAGTATTAAATTTGGCCTATACAATTTATACATTGTTCTTTTTAAGTACATTATATTCTTATTCTTATGAAGCCTTATGATAGCTTTGTATGATGAGGAGACTGAATTTACTAATAATCTCCAGCATAGCTCTCCAATCTCAGTTCAGACTTGTTTTGCAAGATGGAACCAGAAAAAAATTTAAATTTTAAGAATATAGAGTTATGTATATGCAAAATTAAGAAATGTTTTCATCAAATTAAAGCGTAAATCTGATTTGGCAATAATCTTTATATATGTATCATATGACTTCAAAACATTGTGGACTACTTTTGTGATCATTTTATGTTGCTTTTTTGACATTTTGGAGCTTAACAGCCTATGGCCACTTTTTGCTTTTGTTTCGGAACAGTAAATTACATTGACATGTTTACATTTTGAAAGAATGATTCCTTTAAATGTACAGTGGCAAAAACCTTTTTAATTATAGGGCTAGAAAAAGGGTGGAAATTTTGGTGATTTTCCGAACTAGATCATAGCTATTGTGCAAAAATGCTACAAAACTTTACAACATGCTTTAAAGCCAATCATTAATTCAGTCAGTTGAAAAATCTCCAAACGAAAAATGTGTTAAAGTTCAGTGGTCTGATTGTTTTGAAGATTTCTTCAGGATCTCGACTACCTGAAGTGTAATGTGTCTGACCAAAGTGCTTTATTTTTACTCATGGAGTCAGATCAGTTGAGCTCAGTGTGCATCAGCTGCTCTGTTTTCTGTCAAAATGTAACTGTGACTAACAGTAATAATGTACAGAAGTATCAGTGTCAGACTAAATCGTGATGACATGAGTGATGCTGCTTTAATGACTGTGGTTCACCCTGCTTTCTTTTTTTCACATTCTTTCTCCATCAGACACTAAAGCATCTTCGCACAGCCGAGTTTAAGCCCTATGTTGTGTTTGTGAAGCCTCCATCCATCGAGCATTTGAGTGAGACCAGGAAGAACGCAAAAGTCATCTCAGGCAAAGACGATAAGAACTCATCCAAACCATTCTCGGTAATAGACACCACACACAGCTTTGATTTCAATCTGTCCATCTATCATCCTCTCTCATCCTTGATGTGATCTCTTTTCTCTCTCAATATGTCATTGTGGGTTTTAGGTCGTGTTCCCTGAATTTTCATTCCACTATCTCACATAGTTCTTGGTGAAATAAGAAATAGATTTCATCACTTCCTGGCAACATTCACATAATTTATAATAGTCATTTTCCTTTTGGACCTAGCAAACATATCCTGGGTTAGTGCTTAAACATGTGTGTGTGTGTGTTTATGTGTAACCGGTCCCCTTAGCGGCATCCTGATATGAGACCCGTGAGCTCACACTACACCTGTATGACTGCACTCAAAGAAAACACATGCAATCAATTAGCACGTACACCAGACCCTTACCCAGTCCTGCCGTTAGTTTGCACTATGTGAGTGTGCGATGTGGTGTGAATATGCGGGGTATCTAATGACTTTCCCAGAGTTCAGCTCTTGCCTGTGTATCTCGCTGTGAGTCTGCATTGGGGACAAGCGTGCTTGCTAGTTGCTACTGCATAAGTGACCCCAGGAACCTGACTCCACCACACGCTGAGATGGCGTGATGCCGATTGTTACTGCAGAGACATTCTGTGTCAAATGCAGTTAGGAGTTCAAAACATGTGCTCACCTGTCAACCTATTGACCCAACAATTGTCCAAACGCACAACACAGATCGGCAATAGTAGCTCATGGCAATTTTGCACATGAATTCCTATACTGGATGCTAGTCATTTTCACACAGCTGGTTTGGTCTGTTTATCCATTATGATTTCATAGAAGCAGCTGCTAAAACATAAATGACTTCAGACACACGTGCACCCACAATATTGTCTGTCTGAGTTCATCTAGGCTGCAGTGCGACACACAAACATTGTGATTTTGTTTATTTTTTTCTGCTGTATGTATTGATATAAATAATTGATATATATTGATATAAAGAATTACAAGAGTTTTCACCAGATGACTTGAATAGCTATATTTCGGAAGAATTTTGATGGTGGTGATTTTGTTGGGGAGTGCATATGCATACAAAAAAAACATACAAACAAAAATTATAAAAATATAGATTTTTATTTGAGTGCAAATCATTGTTTTAGGGTTAAACAATTTGGGAAAATGTGAAATATTTAGATGTTTGCACTTTGGAACTCTTTACAGAAATCAACTGAAACCTCTTTCAGTAACCAGTTTTTAAAAAAAGATTTCTTTCCACTTGAGCTTTCAGAGGCCTTGTTCCCACTGTTTTTGAGGGTGGAATATGATTATTTTCAATATGACTACATATGACTTTCAAGTATAAGAAATATGTTGCAAGAGTACTGTTGTACTGTAAAATAAAGAGCATTTAATATAACGGTAATGATAATAATAATAAAATTGCATTTTTATTAAAGTTTGTCTTAATTTCCTCATTTTCAAACATTAAACTATCGAGCATTTATTTTCGCGCTTTGCCAACAAGAAATATATGCACTGCCAGTTTCAAAGGTGAAGTAGCACACTGTTAATTTACACACATGCAGCTCAACTTTGAGACACTGAATCTCTGTATTATGAGCTACTTGCTTGTTAATGAACCGTGCCGAGCTTCACTCTTGATGTCGGCAGCACACATTTATTAAATTAAATCGCAGCCTTCGTGATTTGCCATCGTGTTAAGCCATATTCCCATATCCATTTTATTTTGACATGTTGTGCAGCCCTAATACACATGCTCACAAGTTTATATTAGAAGTATATTTCATTATTCTTATTTCAACAACTTTGAAACTGAATAGATGCTGGTCACCTTAATTCAAACCACTGAATGTGTGATTATTAGACCACGCCATACTCCCCCAAAAGTTTTAAATTCCCAGAAAGCTCAATAATTATGCCATCATCAGTGGGAATGTTGCCCTGGCTATCTCTGTTGTAAGAGCAACTGTACCAAAGGCTGTCCACACAATCCACAACAACGTCTGCCTGCTTTCAACAGGTCACTGTGGGTATTAGTAAGGGGGGAAAAAAGCTTCTTAGCTGGCAAAACTTAGCAAAAATGCATTATAGGCCCTGACAGTGTTAAAGGCACCCAGATTCAGCCTATTATAGGTACGTGGTCTGTTTATCCATTATGATTTCATAGAAGCAGCTGCTAAAACATAAATGACTTCAGACACACGTGCACCCACAATATTGTCTGTCTGAGTTCATCTAGGCTGCAGTGCGACACACAAACATTGTGATTTTGTTTATTTTTTTCTGCTGTATGTATTGATATAAATAATTGATATATATTGATATAAAGAATTACAAGAGTTTTCACCAGATGACTTGAATAGCTATATTTCGGAAGAATTTTGATGGTGGTGATTTTGTTGGGGAGTGCATATGCATACAAAAAAAACATACAAACAAAAATTATAAAAATATAGATTTTTATTTGAGTGCAAATCATTGTTTTAGGGTTAAACAATTTGGGAAAATGTGAAATATTTAGATGTTTGCACTTTGGAACTCTTTACAGAAATCAACTGAAACCTCTTTCAGTAACCAGTTTTTAAAAAAAGATTTCTTTCCACTTGAGCTTTCAGAGGCCTTGTTCCCACTGTTTTTGAGGGTGGAATATGATTATTTTCAATATGACTACATATGACTTTCAAGTATAAGAAATATGTTGCAAGAGTACTGTTGTACTGTAAAATAAAGAGCATTTAATATAACGGTAATGATAATAATAATAAAATTGCATTTTTATTAAAGTTTGTCTTAATTTCCTCATTTTCAAACATTAAACTATCGAGCATTTATTTTCGCGCTTTGCCAACAAGAAATATATGCACTGCCAGTTTCAAAGGTGAAGTAGCACACTGTTAATTTACACACATGCAGCTCAACTTTGAGACACTGAATCTCTGTATTATGAGCTACTTGCTTGTTAATGAACCGTGCCGAGCTTCACTCTTGATGTCGGCAGCACACATTTATTAAATTAAATCGCAGCCTTCGTGATTTGCCATCGTGTTAAGCCATATTCCCATATCCATTTTATTTTGACATGTTGTGCAGCCCTAATACACATGCTCACAAGTTTATATTAGAAGTATATTTCATTATTCTTATTTCAACAACTTTGAAACTGAATAGATGCTGGTCACCTTAATTCAAACCACTGAATGTGTGATTATTAGACCACGCCATACTCCCCCAAAAGTTTTAAATTCCCAGAAAGCTCAATAATTATGCCATCATCAGTGGGAATGTTGCCCTGGCTATCTCTGTTGTAAGAGCAACTGTACCAAAGGCTGTCCACACAATCCACAACAACGTCTGCCTGCTTTCAACAGGTCACTGTGGGTATTAGTAAGGGGGGAAAAAAGCTTCTTAGCTGGCAAAACTTAGCAAAAATGCATTATAGGCCCTGACAGTGTTAAAGGCACCCAGATTCAGCCTATTATAGGTACGTAAGAAAAATTGTGTTTGATGAAATGTCACAGACATATTTTATCCAGGACTTAGTATTTCTTTCCCAGAGAGACGCTGCGTCTGTTAGCGCCATGAATTTGAGTGCTGTCGGCTCTGTGCAAGAAAACAGGCATCCCTTTGTTTCTGTGAATCCAGTCTTCCACTCTATTGTTCTCCCTTTTAGTATTGCTTGTATAACATTAATGTGTAAAAGATCAAAATATCACTCATTCTCTTTTTAGGAGTAGCAACAAAAAAAACCCCTAGGAGTTTCATAAAAATGTCATCAGAGGTGGAAGAGTAGAGGGTTTCATCGTCTGGCATTAAATCGTCATAATGAGGAGTGGAAACATAAGCTAAAATTGGAGGATGTTTTTTTTTTTGTTTTGTTTTTTTGAATTTTTCTTTTTTTGTCCTTTGCTCGGTGAAAGTCAGCCCAGTCCACAGATGAAGTGCCTTTACTTTGGGAATATAAAAACAGGGACCTCTTGAAGACCCAGAAATTTCCTTTTTGAACTGGTTTAATGATAAGGGCAGGTGCACTTTATATGATCCAATAAAAATCTATTTTGTGGCAAGGATTGAGAGATGAGCAGACTGACTGTGGAGGGAGCTTAATACTCAAGAAATTCTTCCATTTTTGAGGAGGGAAGACCCGGACGTTGAGTGAGAAAGCGCATTAGAGCCTTTGGGAAATAAACAATCGGAAAGAAATGCAGAGGAAAAATAGATTTAAACCCTTGAAACTGATCAGATTTGGTAATAGCACTCCCCTGGAGGCACAACATCTGTTATGCCTCAATTAGCATGAGGTTTTTATTTGATGACAGAGTGAAGAAAAAATATGTTCAGACCTTGGGCCAAACCTTTGACTATTTAGGCCAAACACAAGCTAATCCACCACGTTGAACCAGAGCTTTATTAAAGCCATGTCTTGGTCAATGAACTGTGACTTTTGATGCGTTCTGCCAATAACTGTCAGATTGAGAGACTGCTGTAATTTTCAGAATGCCAGCAGCTCTGTGACCCAAATGAAACTGAAATGTTGACTAAATCTCAACTCTTGATCAAGAAAGAAGGACAGGGAGAGATGGGAAGGCTTCAACAGAGGGTGGGAGGGCAAGTTGCCGTCTAACAATGGCCATGCACCATGGCTTCGCTAAGCTTGCCACTGTCTTGTCTGCTAATGCCAAATTTCAACATTTCCATACTTTCTATGTACTTAATAGCTTCTCGGCACAATTTAAAACTTTTTAAATCTGGCCAAAAGCTTCTGATTTAGAGTGGCAATATGTTTTATAGCATCATATCGCTCTCAGTATGGGTCCCATGTTTATGTGTTGTAAAAGTTGAGTCTATATTGGTAAAGCCACTCAAACCCTGCCATGTTCTCTGAGACTGGTACCAAATACCAAGATTGCCCACATAAACACTTATTTAGGACCCACAAGCCCAGAAAGGTCAAAGGCCATGTTAGAAAGTCCATAACTAGCCTGTACCAAGACTGCAATGTCATGAAAAGAGTACTTAGTGGTAGGAGGTTGATGCGTTTGTTATAAAGTATGTCTGATTTTAGCCTGTTGTATTTTTACAGTTTTTCAGTGATGTCAGTTTGTTTTGAATGGTAAAAATATTTAATGAATAATGACTGTTGATCGTTTTGTTGGGCGTTTAAGCGCCCATGCCAGGGTATAAAATTGTGGTCCGTTTATTCACTCCACTGTTCCTGTGATCAAAACCACTGGAGATCCAGACCTCAAACTATAACTCTAACTGTGCACCACCTCTGTAGAACATTAAATATCAGTTTATAGTTCTATCTTTTATCACATGTAGATATTTTTACATTTCTGCATCTAAAGCAGTTTTATTGTAAACAAAAAAGAATAGTTTTTAATTAAGTCGATGTTGAGGGCATCTATGAAAGTCTTTTTTGGAAGCTGGTTTTCAGAATACTGTGGGAAAGTGTTTTGGACTTTTTTGGGGGGGGGGGCATATTTCATGTCTTTAAAAAGAACTTTGACTGAATGTGTTTGTTGTTTAGGAGGAGGACTTCCAGGAGATGATCAGTGCCGCTCAGATGATGGAAAACCAGTACGGTCACCTCTTTGAAAAGGTCATCGTGAACGATGACCTCACGATTGCCTTCAACGAGCTCAAGCAGGCGCTCAGGAAAGTGGAGACAGATACTCAGTGGGTGCCCGTAAGCTGGACTCATTCCTGAGTGGTGGCACAAAACAGGACAAAAGGAACAAGGCATCAAATTTTGGGGGGGGAACTAGGGGAAGGACTTGAAGAACTATGAAAGATTTCGTTTTATTGTGTATTTTATTTTTGGCTGTAGATGGTGATGGAAAATATTTTAGTTCTCTTGACACATCTGAAGTGTTTTATCTATTCTCGGAGACTAAAGTGGAAGCGTATAGATTTGTTTTTGTTTTGTCGTGGTGGATATAGCTGAACGGGTGTAACTGCACTCAAAGTCAGCAAACGTCTGATTGGTTAGCCGCCACTGAGATAGTGTTTCAGACTGCCAATCAAGTGGTCTGGTGGTGTTGACCACTCCTTGGTATATTTTTAACATTAGTTTATAGAAACCAAAGGGATGGTTATTATTTTTGTGTGCTCAAAGCTTTTTGTATTTCAGAACTTAACACACCGTACTCCATTGGCCTGTTACTCTGCAGCTAGTTTAATCAGCACAGCATTAACCATATA